CAGCAGGAAAATCTTATTGTTACAAGCAGGAGCAAGAAAATAAGAGGGAGGGGAATGGCAAAGGAAGAGAAAAGGAATTATTCCATAGAGCCCTGCCCTATAGTTCCTTTTTTTTTTTTTTTAATGCATAAGGAAACCAACCCTCGTGCTATTCCCATGTGAATCTGACAGCATGAGCTGCATATGTACACTTGGTCCAGCCCTTCCTGCACAGAATATCTACATGACTGCCTGTACTAATTCACAGAATCATAGAATGTCCTGGGTTAGAAGGGACCTCTAAAGGTCATGTAGTCCAACCCCCCCTACAATAAGCAGAGACAACTTACATTGGATCAGGTTGCCCAGAGCCCCATCAAGCCTGACCTTGAATGTCTCCAGGGATGGGGCCTCCACCACCTCTCTAGGTGAGCTGTCCAAGTGATCCACCACCCTCATAGTAAAGAACTTCCTCATGTCCAACCTCAATTTACCCTTTTCTAGCTTAAAACCACCACCCCTTGCCCTATCCTTACATGCCCTTGTGAACTGCTCTTCCCCAGCCTTCTCATAGGCCCCTTTCAGGTATTGAATATTAATATATGAGACTTTTACCTGGAGGGCCACATACTAGTACTGGTTGGACCCTGGATGGTTGTGTCCATCAGTGTGTGGATCTGGGGTTCATTACAGAGTGGCTATTAAATATTTCAAAATATATTGAAATTCTGAAATATATTGAAGTTTGGTGAGTGACACCAAATCCAAAGGGATGAGCTGAAAGTGAAACTCCCCAAAGGAATCTTCTTCATAACTTCTTCATTTATCTGTGAAGTATCAGAAGACCCTAGATTTATTTCCTCAGCATGGGCTGAGGGCAATATTGATCACTCTTGTCATCCCTACAAATGGACCTCACCTAGAGTGGAAATAAATCTAACTGATTGCAACTATTTACTGACATTGAACTCACACAACAATTTATAGGCAGCAACCCTGTTAAAGTATGGGTGACTACAGCAGTGCCTGTGCTCAGTGATTTAAAGCACATGCAAATTGAAGCAAAGCTGTCTGCTCCTGACATGTTACCAGCATAACTCTTGGCATGACCAATACTGAAGTTGCATAATAGGAGATTAAAACTGGAAAGGACCAGTGAGTCATTCTAACCACAGCCTCCTTCTGTAGCAAAATCTTTGTCTCCATGATTATCTTGCTGGGTTTTTTTCCAGAATGCATCAAGATTCTTTATTCTCTCCCTTCTAACTCCTGGATTTCTTGTTAACATGTGAATACTTCCATGTTTAACTTTTTGCACCCTAAAAAATTGTATTTCCTTGTCATCACCTGCAGCAACAAATACTCCTCTCACCAACTCCTGAAGACCTTTAGCAGCTGCATGAACTAAAGATGTCTTAGTATTTCTGCATGGTTTCAGTCCCTTCATTATAACCAGACACCGTTAGATATTTAAGTTCTATCAAGCCTAAAACCAGTGAAATCAATGAGTGATTCTTTCTGGACTCCACTAAGATGCTTCATAATAGTCTTTTTGTCATACAAGAAATCCCACAATACTATGCACATGCCCATATCTGAAGATGCTATTAAACCACAGCTAATACCTTATTTATCATCTGCCCTAACTGATATTTTTACACTGTCCATCACTCTATTCAGTGGCTCTCTCAGCATTTAGGCCATTTTTAAAAAAAAGGTGCAGGACTTAGCCTCATTTTGTAGATGAAGGTGTTGAGGGAGACAGGCATATGGCATCATCAGAACAGAAGCTCAGCACCAAGATGTGGAAGAAAACACCCTTCAAATTTTGAGGGAAAAAAAACCTCCGTAGCTCCTTTCCTTGTTCTCAGGCCCTTACAGGAAAAAAATGTAAGTTAGTTCTGAGAGTGAATATTTAACTTAACAGTGAAATAAGTACTAGATGATACTGCTAATAAAGGGCAAATGCTTTTTGTGACTAGCACTGGGATTGCTTTGTACTTTATATGGCTTTGGGCCTGCTCACTTTTCTTTAATTCAGGAAGATCCTTGAGAAGAATCATCAGTGCTGTTGACTGGTGAACAAAAACAACTCCTACCTCCAGGGCTCAGAAAAAGGAAGTAAACAAAAGCCAGTGTCCCAGATAAAAAAGGGAACAAATGTTTTGGAGAGAGAACATTCCTATAAACAGTCATTATAACGTAACTCACATGATACAAATTTAAGGAGCAGCTAAAAATTTAGCTTAGTGTGTAGTTTGAAATAGCAACTGCCTTTGTATGACATATGTTTGACTGCAATCACAAGTGATTCACTTACTGCTTATTTCATCTACTTGATTAGCATGCAGAACGACTCTGGGGTTATAAATAATATCTCATGTTTAAAGGTGTTTATTCTACTTGATAATTTACAGGTATCTCAAGTTTTTCTGTTCCTCCCAGAGTCATGGGCTATACTTGTTGGAAGCATCTCTCTGTGTACAGAAGAGAGATATGTTGCACCTCTCTGCATACTGATAAATGACAGATTTGTGGGCAGCTGCACCTTTGCCTGATTTAGCCACCTGAGCACAGATAAATGTTCACCCATCTTCTGCATAATAGACTGATGGGTTAAAGCACTCCAGGAGAAGACCTGGGTTCACTTCTCTCCTCAGCCTGTGGTGACTGAACCCTGTATTTCCATGCCAACAGAATGACCCCAGTCACTGTCCAGGCCAGGATGGGCAACATTTCATTTCTTGTTTAGACTTAGACATGCAGTTTAAAGACTGGATGTAGCACTCAGTGCCATGGTCTGGCTGATGTGGTGGTGTTGGGTCATAGGCTGGTCTTTTCTGTTATTCTGTGACTTGGTGTAAGTGCTTTTACTGTGGGTGCTGCTACTGTCCTAAGAAAAGGGGACTTGGACAAAGGGGTGGAGTAGATGCTTTAGATTAAGATGTGCATAGTGCTTCTGGGGACTCCTCTTAATCTGCCTTTCACCAGAAACTGCAGTAATGATTCAGCTCTCCCAGGGAATGTTTTTATTTTGCTGAAACAGAATGGAGCAGTACTGATCCAAAGCTCTGTATCTCCAAATGAGATTTATGCCCACTGCTCTTACCTTTGGACAAACTCAAGCTGACAGGAAACAAATTACTACAGGTAAGTGTTGTTTTAGTTCTGACATACAAGAAACTTTGTTACAGATAATTTAAAATCTATCCTCAAGGGCGTGGGCTAAAAAGAAATACTGCCAACAGCCCTCAAACACTGCCATAGATTTGATGAAAGAGGGTTCATGTGTGGTATTTTACAGATCATAATCATACTACCCACGTATATAATCACTGTGAATGTCCAACTAACTGGCAAACTCATGCCAGAAATATGATTCTCACAGGAGTTGCTTTGCTTTGTCATTGGCATGCAGCAGCCCCTGGAACAGATTACTCTTGCTCTACAATTCAGGATAGGGATGGGGAAATTCTTCCTGGTGCAACTAGAAGAATGTAACTAAATAGAAGAATATGGTGACTCAAGCTGGAATTTAGCCACAAAACCCTGTTTACAGTCCTCAACATTCACAAAACTTGCCAGGTTTAATGGTTCTGAGGGCTTCAAGCCCAGTCAGTGCTTCCTACCAACTGGGTTCCATCTATATCATGCTGGTTTAGCACCAAGACAGACAAGGGACGTGTTCTGTAACAGGCTGCCAAGAGCTGCAGGATGTGCATTTTAACCATCAGCATGCTGGCTTGTGTTGTTCATGCAATTACAGCTTGAGACAGTAAAAATGTGTTTATCTCACTGTTTTTACCATGCCCATTCCCAGGTCACCAGGACGGGAAAAGTGAGCACTGGTTTTGTAATGGAAAATACTAGGTGTAACCTGATGGGAATGTTGTTTTTTCAGGTGGAATCCATCCTACCCAGAGAGAATTCCAGGCACTCCAGGCACTGTTGAAGGGAGTCTTGCTCAAAAGAAGGCCCCATCCAAGCAGAAGAGGCTCAGATGCTCAGAAGATATTTGGGGGCCTCTGGCCTCTTAATGTCTCCACCTTGGAAGTGTTTTCAGGAGCATCCTCCAGACAAATTGTAAGAGAAAGAAAAGGACTAGTTGTCTTGGATACCTTTGGAATGTAAAAGTAAAGGTTCAAGAGCATCCAAAGCAAAGTTCTCCCACCAGCCACCATCTTCTCAGTCTGTAAGAACACCATTCTCTCCTCTGTGGGTTCCTTGGTTATTGCCTGTTCCAGTCACACCATTCCAACACAGCTCCCCTGAAAGCTGAACAGAGCAGGGGCTTCTTCCAGATGGTGACAGGGACCCTTTGTTGAACTCAAACAGACAGGATGGGTTGCTCATTTGCAGTTTGAACCATCCTTTACAGCTATATTGAGCATGTGCATGTGGGGAGGCTTCTCTGCAGATCCAACCAAACTTCTTGGATGCTTTTCAGAGGTGATATGGGAAGACATGGAAATACATCCCCTGGGCTGCCCACTGTGCTACAGCTCCATGGCAACTTTCACTGCATCTGATCTCCAGATACCTTCCAACCCGTGATTACTGAACCTTCACATCATCCTTGCAAGAAAGGTTAGGGATCATGCCCGGTTTCCAACTGGAAGATGTATGAAGAACTGAAGTTAAGTGATTTTCCCCACAACTGGACAGCAGGTCAGGTGGAGGCAGAGACAGAACCAATCCTTAATCCAAGCATTAGACAATATTCCTTCCATCAAGAATATGGACATATTCCCAAAGGTCGTATTGGTAAATACATTAAAGGAAAATCATCTCCCTGTTAGTGACTCTTAATCCAGATAAGCATGATTCTGAATTAGGCTGTAAGTGTGTTTTAAAGGGAAACACTTAACCTGTGTTATCTCCATGCTGGCACCAGAATTCACATCCATCCTATTTGTACCGAATTAGGCGAATAATCTTATTATTCATGAAATCTGAAGTATGTGGATGAGAAGAATCTATGCAGAAACCATCACTCATGGCTATTTTTAGCACTTCTTCCACAAACACCTGGAAACTATTGATTTGCTTATTATCTGGCACCACCCAGAGTCTCTTTAAGTTCTGCCGGGTGTACTCCTCTTCGGGAAGGCCTTCCACACTTGCAACCCAATCCAAAGTCAAATGGTTGGGGTCCTGGAGGTAGCTGGATATTGAAGAGAGGTTTCCGTTGAAGCAATAGTAAAGTTTGGAGCCAAGAAGCTTCAGGAACAGACATGACGTGGAGAAGATATGAGCACTGAACACTTCCATGTTGGAGGAAGACAGGCTGTAGATCTGGGGTGCTTCTCGGACGGTGAAGTGAACGGTCTGGGTCTTCTGATCAAGGGTGATGTTGAGCATGGCATTCTTCTCTGCTTTAGAAAGCTCCACCTCCTTCTCCTGCAAGGCTTCAATCAGTGGCTGAATTTGATAAAAGTCTACCTCCCGTCGAAGCAAGCCCATCTCCTGAAAGTCTTCAGGGAGGTCCAAGTGAGAAGTTCTTAAGAAGTTCAGGATATAGCGGAAGATTTTGCCATCTCTGTCGATGAAGCAGTTGCCTTGCCTGTCCTTCTTGGTTGGGATCTTCCCACTAAACATGGCCCCCAGCATGGAGTCTGGAAAGCTAGTCAGGGTGGACAGAGAGGTGGTATAGAGTTTTCCACCAACATTGAGTGTGATGGGTTCTGACATGATGGAAAAGTCACGATGGTTGGACTAGTTCTAAAAAAATAAAAATAAAAATAAATAATCCAACACCACACATTTAGCTGCATTTATCTGTTTGAGAAATTAAACTACAGAGGTGAAGAGTCCTAAATATACGAGGGTAACTACATGGCAAGAATTCATCATAGAAATGAGAAGTGGGGAATTACTTTTGGAGGCTGTGGCTTGGAACAAGCATGAGGATGTTTTCTTCTACTAACAGACGTAGTTCAGTTTAGTGCCAGAAATGATAAGCCTTCCAGAATGGTCCTGCTAAAAGTGAAATCTCTCCTATGAATGCCTGCAGCAACACGACTGCTGACTTCAAAGCAAGAGTTGTGTCCTGGCCTCACCTGATCCTGTCTCCCTTGTGAACATAGAGTTTAGAGGGGAAAAAAAAAAGGACAGGACAAGAACTGGACACATCCCAACATCTCTCATGGCACCTGGAGATATAATTAAATCAACAAAGCTGTTGCAGCAGGATCCCCTGACACACTGGCGTGCAGTCATCCTAGCAGGGAGCTAACAAGCAGTGCTGCTGGGAGCAAGCCACAGTCTGCAGGTTTTAAAAAAAAACAACAACCAAGCTTTCTCCTTCCAATGTGCTTCACCTTAGGAGACATTTCCTAATTAATTTGGGCCATATCCCAGTTGACGTCGTTCCCACGCAGCTTCTCTGCAATCACCTGAGATGAAGGGAGGAGGCAATTTTATGGTGCAGATAAACACAACTGCCTCTGGAAAGGACAGACCTTCCCTCTGCCTTCCTCCATACCTTCCTTCTCCCTTGTGCCAGGTGTGGCACTTAGCTGTCCCCACAGTGAGCCAGTTTTGGGAGAAAAAACATAATTTTCTATTCAGGATGTTTTGGCTACACAGAATCATAGAATCATCCTGGTTGGAAGGGACCTTGAAGATCATCAAGTCCAACAAATGCCAGGGCTGGTGCCAGTGAAGAGGAAGGGGCTGTGTAGCCCTGGGGCCTCCTCATTCCTG